TGGTGGAGCCATGTGCTGCTCAGGACTGACCTGCACAGACGGGGGAAACTGCAGCTGAGCCCTGCTGCTCCAGCTGGGCTTGTCCCGTCCCAAGTGGCACACGGCTCACCACCGCTTCTGCTGGCCGGTGCATACCCAGCCGGGCTCCTCCCGTTCCCAGCAGCACGTGAGGAGCTGACTTCAGCTGCATGCCGCCTTTCCTGGCTAGTGTAGACCCGGCTGGGTCTGTCCCATCCAGAGCAGCATGTGGCTGAAGCTGGCTTCCCACATGCTGCTGGGGACGGGGCAAGCCTGGCCAGATCTGCACTGGCCAGCAGAAGCGGCGGTGGAGCTGTGTACCACGCGGGACTGACCAGTGCAGGTAGGGGGAAAATACAGCTGAGCCCCTTCCTGCTGCTCCAGCTGGGCTCAACCTGTCCTGAGCGGCACATGGCTCCGCCGCCACCTCTCCTCCCTGGTGCTGACTGGGCCGGAGCTGTGGCTCAGCTGCTGCTTCCCCTCCCCAGTGCCAGCCTAGCCCGACCCTGCACAGCCCGAGCAGTATGGCATGGCATGGGGAAAGCCTGCCCAGCAGCTGCTTTCCTGGGCTTACCTGCAGGGCAGGGCCCTGTGCAGTCCCGTGCAGGAGGCAGAAGGTGGCCCAGACACTGTTTTCCCTCACTGGTGCCACAGGTTCTGGCCCAGCCCCCCCCGCCCCTCACAAGCTGCAAACCTGGCCTGAGCGGGGGCGGGGCAAGGCTAGCTGGGTCAGGGTTGGTTGCCTCACAACCGGAACCCAAGGAAACAGCCTGAAGTGCTGCAGCCGGTGGCTGGTGCCACTGGAGGCTTTTAGAGAGGCAGCTGTCATTATGTGGGTTTTGAAGGGGCTCCGTGGGACAGAAGGAAGTGCTTGGTGGGCCGGATTTGGCCCACCCCTGATGTACAGCCACGTGATGTAACTAGCTGATTGCCCTACTTTCTTAGGAAGAATGAGGCGGTCTCCTGTCTTGTCCCCTCCTGCTCGTGCTTCCTGGAGGTTCAGTCTCCTTCACTGGAAGTTTTTGAGTGGATTAGGTCAATATGTGTCAAATGGTGTACATCCACTGATTACTAGGTGGTATCTGCCAGATTAGATGACTCTTAGCGGTACTTTGCAGCCCTACAATTCGTCGCCCTCTATAATGGGGAGTGAATCTATTCAGTTTCTGGGCTCACTGTCCATTTTCTACCACACTCTTGGTTGACTTGTAGCCTTAACCACAGCAAAACTTTCCCCCTGTTATGTGTATGGGGCAGTGGAGTCCCACACTATACTAGCCAGAAGTAAGAGTTTCAATGAGCCTGCTGTCATGACCCTGGAGGATTTGGCCTGATGGCAGTTGGATCCTTGTGTCCATTGCTTAGAAGTCTCATGAAATCTTGAAAAAGAGCCTTGAAATCTGGAACGAGGAAGAAAAATTTCATGGAACAGGAGAACAGAGGATTATAATGAGGTGAAAATACAAAATATGTGAGGAATGTACTACACTGGTACACAATATGCAGTGTGTAACACCCTAGAACATAAAATTATATTAGTCATTTGATATTTCAAGGGCTAACTTTAATCTGTAATAATTTAAGAAAAATACTCTTTACAGGATGAGCTTACAGCAGTGAATGTAAAGCAGGGCTTCAATAATCAACCGGCTTTCTCTGGAGATGAGCATGGATCTGCTAGAAATATTGTCATTAATGCCTCAAAGGTAAGGCTAGGTCTGTTAGTCTCATTTAAAAGCTATGTGTGTGTCAGTGTTTGCTGCTTAATTTGCATTTTCAGATGGCAGAATATTGCCTAAAATTTACAAGTTGGCATTAGGTTTTTTTTGTTGTGATGACTCTCCTGTATATGTTGGTAGTCTTGGCATTCCAGTTAATTATAAAACTAATGTGAGACTGCTAGGAATCAAATGCTGTTTGTTTCTGTGGGTTATTATGCTGGTCTTCAGATGCTAGGAAGAATGGGTCCTAAAAACATGACAACATACCAGGTAGCACATCAACTTGTAACATTTAAATCTGGAAAAGATAATTATTTTTTTTTTTTAGTCTCTCTTCTTACTTTCCCAGTCCCTAAAGACAATAGGGGCCGTTTCTGATGGGCAATCATGGATGGCATTTAAAACCCCCACAGTAAGTTGGGCCTTTAAGTATTCTAGCTGGTTACTTGCTGCCAAGGAATGCTTCACCATAGTTTTTTGCTGGGTGTTGAACATTGTTATCCATTCTGTTTTAATGGGCCGTTTAAAAAAAAAATGTGTTTCTGAGCTGTATTTCCTGAAGCTTCAGTTAACTTGCCTCTAAAAATTAGAAAAGATTAAGTAGTGATACAAAGGGCTCTGAAACTCAGTAAAATATTAGATAGAAGGCAGGGCAAGGTGGCTCCTGGTTCAGAGGGTTTAGTTCTTCTGTATAGAAGTGCCACCCTGTCCTGCCTTCTGCCTGACTTCAGACTCTCTCTCCCTAGTAAAATATTAATAAGTCATCTTCTAAGTGGTTACAGCTGGTCAAACATTTTTTTTGAGGGAACTTTAAAAAAAAAAAAAAAGTTTCTCTTTTTAACCCTTTCTTCCTGTCCCCTCTACTTCCTCTTATTTTATTTGACTAAAGGGGAGGGAGTAGTGGAAGGAAAAGAAGAAGTGCTGGTTTTGTTCTGCATGGGTATTATTATTTCATATACATTGGACATGCAAAATATTTGGTTTAGAAATTTTATTTTACATTTTAAAATTTTGTGTAAAAACACCAGTTAAAAGTGGCACTATGTCTTACCCTTTTTTGTTCAGGGGTCATGCAGCCTTTATTCTGTGAATGTGTAACTCTCAGAATAAATTGGTAAATATAGTAAATATAACTGAGATGTATATAATGAAAAGACATTCTTTTGCTGACAAAATATTAAGGTGTTGCTATATTTTTATGATTGTCCTCTAAGGCTGCCACCTGTAGACACTTGCTTTGTCTGTTTGGATTTGAATTCTGTTATACCATGGAAATATCTTAATTGTTTGAAAATGCAAAGTTTTTTTAAAAATTGGGGAAGAGCTTAATATTACAGAGTGTTCTTTTTATTCTATAAGACTTACATTTGTTCAATAACTATTAAAGATTTTCTTTTGGAACGAAAACTTTAACCAGGTGGAAATTGTTTCCATGAAGATGTAAAAAAAAAAAATGTCAGGGGTGTTTTCTTAAGTGTCTGTCAATATAAATAGGTTGCATGTGATGATCTATTTTGTTTTTTGGAAAAATTAATTTGGATAGTTATTGTTTTTTTTTTTTTTTTCTTTTACTCCTTTGTGTTTTTATTTTTCCTCTTATTCTGTCTAAAAGCCATGAAGCGACATTTCCTATAGCATTTATTTACTTATCCAGTATTTCTTGATCTCTTCTATCTCATGAGACAGTCCAGTCTTTCAAGACTTAAGAGTTTTGCATAGCTATCTGTACATTTATTGGCTCATCCAAACTTTGCTAAGATTTGCTTATCATGATTGATGAATGAAAGTAACTGAATGCTGTCCTTGACATGACAATTGTCTTTTAAATAGAACCTATACCTCCACACACTCTGGTACCTTGAATGTCCCCAAAGATTTAAGCAGTCCCTTAACTTTAAGCAGGGTCTGGTCTGTGGTGTTGCCCATGCATTTTGGATTGAACCTGCACACTGCATGCTGTGCACTCTGGGCCAGTCCACATGCAGTACACCAGCTCTGTCCCTTCATGTTGACTTGCATGTGGCCTGCAGGGCCAGCCTGTGGACCTGATCCAGTGTGTGGATTGGCACTGTCCCAGTGCCTGCTGGGCCTTATAAGTTTGATCCCCTGATTTGATGCACAGAAGTAGTCACACTGAAACAAGACTTTTCAGTTAGATCCTTTTGCCAAAGTGGAACGTACCAGGTAACAGAATCCTTCTGTTCACTGCTTTACGCTATTGACCTATGGCTTTTATTACTGAGAGAGAATACAATAATGTTGCACTGGTGCGTAGCATCAGGAGACTCTCTAATTGACAGTTCCAGGGAATTCCAGTGTAATTTTATTAAATAGGTAGCTTAGATCAGAGTGGTGACTATATTCAAATGGGAATCTTGTGTGTTTCAGTGTACAATAGACATTTGCTTACATGTTGTCATTTTTTTCCCCCCACCAGATTGGCGCTTATTTTAGCAGCATATTAGCAGAAAAGCTTAAACTTAATACTTTCCAGGACACGGGAAAGAAGAAACCGCAAGTAAATGCCAAAGACAATTATTGGCTGGTTACTGCTCGCTCTCAGAGTGCAATTCATAACTGGTTCACAGACTTAGCAGGAAATAAACCACTGCCCATTTTAGCAAAAAAGGTACAAACAATCTTAATTATTGCTTTTGGGTTTTTTTGTTTGGGGGGGGGCAGTAGGGGAGCTGACTTTGCAGCTTGGCGTAGGAGAAGGGCCATATTTATATATACCAATTTAAATAGATAAATATGTATCCAAACTTCTTACTGTTAACAAGCAACTATCATGTTTTATGTGAAACTGAGTGAGCTTTGTAAAAATAAGTGCATAAGGTAGTAATGTGTGGTATGGATGCAGATGAATCTGGAGGACACGACAATCATTTGTAGACACACAAGAAGTTCTCTGTATTTAAGTGTATGATAATGGGAAGATTGGATGTACCTTGGTGACTAATCTGGGACTAAAGAAATTGGTGAGCTTCAACAAGAGTAGCGTTACATTTTTAAATGTCTGCTATCCCTGTCTTTGCATCTTGCCGTCCTTAATAAGACAAGAGCATAAAATACTCACTTAGTCTAAACTCTATAGAGGTTCTTTAAATGCCCTTATTAACGAAGACCAAAGTTAAGCTTGGATGACCAGAGTCTTTGTCTATACTTTACTTTTCTCTCAAAGCAATGTTTTGCTTCAAAAAAAATTGTTTCTTGTATCAAAAGAAAATGATTACTTTAACTGTCACTTTTGCATGGTCTCCACATTGACACCAATATGTCCTTACTATCTTTTGCAAATCCTTTTCCTTTAGGTATTCTTATGACTATTACTCTTGCTCAGGTTTGTTAGCAGCAGGCTTTCAATGAGCTTAAGGACAGGGAAGAATTCTTGCCTCTTTTCAGGAATCTTGCAAACAACATAAACTATCTTAAAGGAAATATAAAGCTATAGAAAAATCTATCAAAACTAATCAATTAAAAATACCAAGACAATTGAGAGAAACTTGGGTGGCTATGAAAGTCTTACCCCTGAGGGGAAGACTGGAACAAAATAACTGACTAAATTGGTGTCATTCACACCTAACTTCAGTGCAGATCTGTGTGGAATAAGCTGTATTGAAATACGGCTCTCTTACTCTGCAGTAAAAGTGTGCACACAAATTGGATTGAATCAATAAGGTGCAAATTATAATAATTCAATTTTGGTTTCCATATAGATAGTCCAAGAAATTTTTTTTCTCAGGTAGCTGAGAAAATTTTACATTAATTTTTCATGAGGGGAGCTATTTAGTACCCTTCATTTGTACATAAGAGCTTTGCTGAATATTATCAACTAATAAGTTTCATTTCTGTCCTTAAAAAGAAAAAAAAAAAGCTAACTTCAAAAGTGGAGATATTTAAAAGATTCTGTAGATCATATACTTGCTTTGTAGAAAACGGCAGACTTTTATTGATCTGAATAGCTGGGATTTTTGACATGCTAATAACACACATGCTAACAGTGCTATGAATAAAGTACTACAGCATGGAAAAATCCCAGTTGCTGAGCACTGCTAATACTATTATAAGACTTATGTCCTGTTCTAGACAAAAAAAAAAAGAAAAGAAGTGGCTATTGTCATACCAATGACAGCAAACTGAACAGTCATGGGTATTCCCTTTGGTATGCAGTATTTGGGGGGGTGGAGTTTTAATCCATGTTTTCCTCACTGACTGCTTCAAGAAGGCATGACAAAATTACTGTACATGTATGTAAAAATTTTAGTTGACCTTCTGGATTATCTTAATGCAGTTGTGCTTAACATTTTTGCCCAGTGGGCCAGATGGGCAGTGCCCAGTATGTCTGTGGGTCACATCTGGCCAGTGGTCCTGATCTTGTGCCCAGCGCCAGAGATGCCTGCAGGCTGGAAGAAGTGGTTCTGTGGGCTAGGTCTGCTGGCCAGATGTGTGACACCCTGAGCTAGAGGGTACAGAAGAAGGTTCCATTTCCATTAAGAGGCTGGGCAAAGACCTGCTGGTGGAAAAGGGTTTTCAGAAATTTCTGGGCTGAGGGAAGATGGTACTCTGCCTCTTCCCCTTGCCCCTACTCCTCTGTCATATTTCCAGAGGCTAGGGGACCTACAAACTGTACTGAGGAGTGAGGTTAATCACTTGATGTCAGTTTTAACACTCTTTTGGAGTTTGGACCGTATATGGAGGCATGAGGCATAGGTAATGGTTCAGTTGCTCTTCAGGTCAGTGAGTAAGCCCAGCATTGTACATACAGCATTCTAAAGTGTAAGTCTAGAATTAAATAGAGGTCTGCATTCAGTCTGTTTCCTTACCTATATTGGATTGCACTTTGTAATTTATTGTCTCTTTTTCATTCCAGGTTCCTATCCTCAGTAAAAAGGAAGATGTTTTTGCTTATTTAGCAAAATATTCTGTGCCACTGCTGCGAGCAGCATGGCTGGTCAAGATGACCTGTGCCTACTATGCTGCTATATCTGAAGCTAAACTTAAGAAGCGTCAAGCTACTGATCCAAATATTGGTAAATAAAAATTCTAATATTTAAATGCATGGTAATGATTGAAACAATTTGGTGCTCTTGTTCAGTACTTTGGTGTTGCTAGGGGAATGTAACAAGGACTATGTTTTTTATAACTAGATTTCTTTTTTGTTTTTCTCCATTTGGGTTTTTATTGATTCTTTCCTGTCTGAAAACATATAAAATAATACAGACAACTGTTTAGTATAAAATATTGCTTTGTTCACATACCCTTCTAATAGATCTGACCCCAATTCTCCAATCACTTTAATTAAAAGGCTGAATATATTGTGTCTTGATCACTTGAGTGTGTCACATTCATCTTAGTATGAAGAGCTCACAGAAGGCCTCTGGTCATTTGAGTCCCATTTATTATGGCCAAAAGCATGACAGAATAAATGTTGCCCTAGAAGAACTGAATTGAATCCAATACTTTGAGAAACCTTAAATAAATTTTACCTTTTATGCATAATTATTTAAAATGATATGCAGGGGCACTTTCAGTTTCACTATTGGTGTTACTTGCTGACCTAACTAAATGGGCTAACTCCTTTACCTAGCCTTTGTATGAATATAAAAATTTAGTGTATATCCTACCAAGGGTTTATGAGAGTGATGTGATTTCCGAGCAGGAGAAATAGAGAATCTGTGTCTGGTAAAAGGTATTCATTTTAAAATGCATTTGTAGGCTGCTCAAGAACAGAGAGATCAAACTGAATGTAAGTGCAGAGCAGTGGGTCCAGCTGTTACATTTATATCTTTTTTCAGAATAGTCTGTGTAGACTGAGTTGTCTAGGGTAGGTAATGTTGCCACCTCTCTTGTTCAGTTCCTCACAGAATGGTGCCTCGGACAAAGGACTTCTAGACACCAGTATAGTATAATTGGAACAAATCTTGTCCAGAAAGAAAATAGCCAGGTTTCAGATGCAATAAACCTAGTCAAGCTCTTCTCCACTATTCAGTATCCATTTTCTCTGACCTGAGCCCATGTTCCTACTGCAAAACTCATCCCTATTTAGTTATGTTCCCCACCTAAATTTTGCTTCTGTGGTTTCCTCCTTTCAGTCTTACTTTTTTTTCCAGGTTTGCTCTTGGTTATAAGGCTCTTAGCTACCGCCATAAGCTGAGACAACTGAGAATCAAAGACTTCACTAGTTCTTAGGCACAGCCCAGATAGATAAAACAGTCCTCCCAGAGAGCTTACTGCCTACATGTGAGAGAGAACATAATAGGTGGGCATCCTCCTATTGATTTTATATGAGTAGGATTTAGCAGATAAGATAATTTGATGGCTAACAAAACAAGTTTATAACTTCATTAAATTCCAGCGATGACTCTTGATGTGAAGCCAGACCAGGTTATCCTCCACCTTATCTGCATATACATTTTTTGAGCATCCTAGGAGTTGTGGCAAGAACACCCAGTTCCAGTCATGAGTGGGGGCTAATTAGTACATGGATCCTTTGTGGGGTGTATCTGGAGTACACACACATATTGAGCAGTGCTGAAGCGTGAGGTCACCATGGCTTGAAATGCTGTTGACTCTGCTGGAGCCTGGCCCAATGAACTCTGTGGTAAATCATGAAACCTTGGGCTTTGGATTAATATAGTTTGTATTCTTGGCCTATTGTGGGCTTGAATCAAGTGTAGTCTATGCTTACCTAGGGGAAATACTGTGATTACCACAGTGGCTTCCTAGTTGCACCTGGGGAAGGCTGCTCTGTTGTCATGGAATAGTACCTGTATAGGTAATGCGTAGCAGACCTTGGCTTTATGCCCACTTCATGGAAATGAGAGACTCCTTTCTAGCTTGCTCGTGGGTCCTTATGGCTAAAGACAAGCAAAACTTGGGGGCATCCAAACCCCAAGCCTCCAGGCTTGGGCCTGCAAGTAGGATGCCCAACAAAGGAATTTGGAACATCTGAAGCCCCAGGTGGGGATGGAGGATGTTTGCCGGTGGTAGGGCCACTTTTGGTTTTGGACTAACTTACAGATTTGGAATTGATTTAGCCAGTTTGGCTTGGAATACAAAACATTAAAAAAAAGCTTGTATTATGTATAACTAGGGGGCAAAGTACTGCTCAAAAGTGTTTTATGGAGTGTCTGTGCTAAAACTTTCAGTATTTTAAAAAACATGCGTCAATTCTGGATGAATTAAGTGTATGGATAATATATGAAAATTGCTACAGCCATGCTCAATTTCATGGTTATTGTTTTCAAATTTGGTACGCTCT